GCCATTTTATCAATACATTTAAAAAAATTACTATTATTTTATAAAATGTTGTGTGTTGTTTACCAATTTCGGTAACATTTCTATCAAATAAATTACAATTAGTACTTCATTTATAGTTTGTGCATTTAAATCTAGTCATATATGAAATTCACTTGTTATACATAGCTATCCTTATTGAAAAATCTTTACAAACTATTTTGACCTATTTTGGTATTCATATGGTTAGAATATATATGTAGGTATATAACAGAAAATAAAATTGGCGGAGCCAAACCTATTTTTATTTTTTGTTTTCTTCAGAAGATCTTCTGGATCAGATAATCTAATCTAATTTCTATATACATATATTCTTTTAACTAGAATTTTTAACCATAAGCAGGTGCAAAGTATTATATATACAATCATTTCTTAAGGTTTTCCTTGCATTTTATTTATAGTAGTGTAATTTGTTATATAAAATAAAATTGTTATATTCAATCTATATAATGTGGTGTCGTTTTTATGTCTTTATGAAAAAAATAATTTAGAGTAATGGGTTTAAAAATTTTTGCAATCAAATTTTCCCGACTTCTATTGTAACTGTTATACTATTTGTTATTGCGTTAGTAATAAACTAATAACATATTAATTGAAGTTTTGTAGGTGCTAAAAAAAATTGCTAGTCTAGTTAGATTGATCTTAATTTCACTTGAATTGTTTCTCATTCAGTTCATTATGGCCTACTTAATTAAAGCTTTATAGGTAAGAGGTTCACTTTTTTTTGGAAAAACTGATTTGAAGATTAATCCGGCGTCAATTAAATTTTTAATACTCGAAATTTTGCCGGTTTAATCATGTACAAATACACAAGTATTGTATTAACATGAGTCAATAGCGATTTTTGGAAAAAAATTTCACTCAATTTTTTGAATTGTTCTAATTTTTGAGATTCCATTTAATAATTTCCAAAGCTGTGATCAGAAAGAATCAGAGATGAAGTCGAGAAGTGTTTTATTTTTGTTTAACAGGCTCTTAAATCTTTAAAATTTTTTGTAAGATTTATTCATTGTAATTATAAAACATTTAAATTTTAAAAATGTTACAATTAAAAAAAAAAAATTAGAAAAAATAGGTGAAAAACGTTAAGAAACTCTACAAGTTTTGCACAATTTTCAAAGAATTTAAATTTTTTTTTCTGAAAAGGGTTAAAGTTGCTGAGATTACCAAGTAAAATTAATTTAAATCAAATAAAATTACAAAAAATCCGACGAAGAGAACTTGAAGACAAAAATTGAATAATAAAATTAGAAATGTTTCCCTTAATACTACGCATTTAGGCGGTAGCTTGTTCATCGTTAGAAATAGTCGGGAAAGTAAAAAAGACGGAAAACGTTGCTTTCCTAATAACAGATTTAGCGTGGATGCGTTATTTTATTGCAAAAATTTCACAACTAATACAGACTTAATTTGAAATTGTTTCAATTTTTTTTATTATTAAATAGTTTCAACATATTAATATTATTAATATTTTTGTTATTGTTGCTGTGATTTTTATCGCCGGAAAATTTGCTCTCTTTCTTTTTATTTACTTTTTACGCATATTATGAAAAGTGAAATATTATAGCAAGTTGTAATCAATTTACTTTTTCTATTTTCTTTCGCAAGATTCAATATAAACTTTGGTTAAATGCATTCGTAAAAGATAAATGTATTTTATAGTAGCTTTATATTATCACATTATGACGCTATATGACGTTGTATGACGTTATATGACTCCGTTTGGTATATAATAACAATTTGTTAGTAACATGTTATTAATTTGCAATTCTGTTTCGGTATTATTAAGTCCATGAAATGTACATAATATATTGGAAGAAGGGATCTAGTCTCAAAATGCTATATATAGATTAGATGCCTCTAAATATAGATACCTACACACACATTTTGTTTTATCCATATAAATAAATTTATATGATAATTTATCTAAGATAAAACCTAAAATGTAAAAATAACAAATTTATATTACCGAATCGTTATTGTAATCACATCAAAAAAATCTCAACATTTTATTTACCTTGCAACTATTTTGATGCTGTCTTGCGTTCTCATTGCTGTAACTCTAGAGTCATATGGTGCGAAAATTTTTTATATGCACATTATACGCGTGTTTTTGTATTGAACGTAAATAAATATGCGTAATAGTTTTCTACGACTGAGTTTACTCACTTTTTCTTTGAAATAATTTTCCATAATACAGTTTTCATCTCTTAATATAAAAAAATTTAAAACTTTTTCTATATATTTTTTTGTTGGCAATTTGTGGTATACTTAATATAAATATTTCATAACAATATACACACGCTTATCTAATGATTTTATTTGATTAAATAATTTTACACGAGCGTTAAATATTAATTTAGTTTTTTATATTTTAAAAATTGCAAATAATAAAAATTAATTTTTATTATTTTAAAATAGAGTATGCAATACTTATAATTTCAATATGAATACTAGATTTTAAGTAAATTTTAATAAAAATATGTAGTTATATAATTAATTAAAACTAAAAAATTTGATTTGCGTTTTTTTGTTCACAATTGCAATTTAAAACGAGCTTGTTCTATCACTATACATACACATCATAAAATTGATGAATAACACATTAATTAATCAGTCTTAGTAATTATCTGCTTAGTATTTCGTAATATGTAATTAGCATATTAATTTTTTAAAAAGCAATATTCGTGCAGTTAGAAGCCCGAAAATGTATAATTCAATTTTGCTCAACACCATAATTTAAAATTTACGAATATTCTATACAGTTCAAAATTTAATTAATGAACACCGATAAGTTATGAAGTTACGTTTACATTTACAAAAATTACAATTTTCTTCAAAAATTAAACCCAATTTTTGAATTCAGAATTCAGATATATGTAGCTCCCATGTTTTCAAGTTAGCAAGTGTACATTCTTTATACATGTAGGTATATTGCTTGTGATTTAAATTCACCTTGTACATTAATAATGGTGGTGCATGATGAAATCAAGTGTAGAATTAAGAACAAACTCAATGTTATACATATGAAAAATAAAAACACATGAGCGTGGGAGCCTTCATTTACTCACGTATACAAATACAATGTTTTACATATAAGCACCACACACGTGTTAAAATAACTTTTTTATTTAATTAAAAACTTTTACAATATTCAAACTTAATAATAACATTAACATTATGTTATCAAATTTATTATTATATATGAGATATAGTTATTTTATGAGATTTTATCAACAAATTTTTAACAAAAAATGCAAAGTCTAAATTTGAATAAATGCAAAATTTTATTAACTGTCTCGAAAAATTTCATCAAAAATTTATAAAACGGAACGGAAGCGAACATTTACGCTACCACTCCAAATAATTAAGGAGTGATAATAAAAATCATAATTTTGAAATAAAAAAAGAAACTAATAAAATAAAAATAGTAAAATTTTTCTCATAATTTTATTCAAAATTCCAAACACATTTTAATATGGATTTCAAATAAAAAATATGAAAGTTTGTTTGATTCGAAATCACACCAATTTTGTTAAGCAATGAGGAAGACATAAAAATTATGAACAAATTTAGAATTATTAAAATAAATTTGTAATAAAAAATTAAAAAACTAACAGTTAGTATCTGAACTTTAAAATAATATTACTTAATATTTTTGATTGCATTTTTATTATTATGTAATCAACTGTTTTTTAGAGTTGCAAATCGCCTTGTCTACATATGTAGATAAGGTAATGAAAGTGTCAAATATATAAAAATAATGTAAAGCTATTGCCCAAAATTGTAAGTTTATGGTATATCGCTTTCTTTTTCAACAAATTAACCGCAAATTCTTTAACGTCAAAATTTTGTTTTCAGTCTGAAAACTGTCTGACGTATAAAACTTTTACGGACAGAAATGTAGTAAACTTTTTACCCGTAATTGACTTTGAATTTTGATCATCCGTAAACGTCAAAACAAAAAAAAAATTTTTTTAGATTTAAAATAATTTCATACTTACATATTAAAAATTAACAAAAAAAATATTTTTAACGTAATGATAGTCACTCAATACATCAAATTTATTTACTGAATTACTACGTCAGACTGTATGCATGTAAAAAAAAAAATCTACAATTTTGACGCTTAATTGACTTTTTTTAAACGTTTAAGAATTTAAACTTTGACTGAAAGTAAAAACGCAGTAGAGTATTCGTAAACTCAGACAACTCAGATTTTGTAAAATTTGACATTTAAGAATTTACCATAAATTTCTCTAAATTTGACGATTTTAAATTAGTGTAAACTAAAATTAGCATGGTGATGGATTACTCGGAGTTATAATGATAATTCGGGCGTACATCATGAAACATCGAAAATTCAATGTTGTGTTCGTGTTGTGCTTACATAATACTCGTAATATATTTATGTATAAGTTTGTTTAATTTTTAAAATAAAGAAATATAACAGTTAAAGACAGGTCAAAAGTAATTTGAACTTTTTGAGCCATTTAATTGGAAATTAGCATTAGATCTACTTTTTGATAATTGGAAATTAGCATTAGATCTACTTTTTGATAGGCACCTCTACAATTATAACCAAAATTTTCTATTGCCATCTAACTATTGTTATAAAAGTGAGAATTGACGAGAGAAAAATTTGGTAGGTCCAATATTAAATTCTGCCATTTTACTACGTTTTGACATTTTTTTTAGCATTTTCAAGAGAATTCCTTTAACTATTTTTGCCATACAAGAAAAATTTTATTAAAAACAAAGGTTTCCTGTCACTGCACTTAAATACATACATTATTAATTATGATTTATTTCTTTGAAATAAAAACCGTTATATTGATTTCGTTTAAAATTAAAACAACTTAAGTGAATATTTATTACTTTTGTAGTTTTAATATTAAAAAGAAAAAATTAATGTGTTTTTAATGCTTTTTCTTTTTGTTTAGGTGTTTTAAAATTTTACCTACCTTAATTCAACACATTCGCACGTAATTAAACAATAATATTCCGCAAGAGGGAAAAAAATATTTTTTTTTTTCTGTTTGATTTCTCTCTCTTTCTTACTTATGTTGTAATATGCGTTTTGCATTGGATTGTTTAAAAAAAATTTTTAATTGTTTATCATCATTTTTTTTTCTCGACTTGGTTTTTGGTTTGTTGCCTTTAATTTCGTTGAATTTTAAATATCCGACCTGGAAAATAAATGAAGAAATAATCATTAAATAAATGTTGAAAATTAAAAATTAAAATTGAATTTATTTTTTTCTTTTATATCAATTTAATTTTATTTTTTATTTTATATATTTTTTGCCAATAGAAAGAGAATTTTAGATGGAAAACCGACTGACAAATTTTTTTTTTTATTTTAATTTTATGTTTGTAAAAATTTTAGGTGAGCATATTTAATTAAATTTTAACAATAAAATAAATGAAAAATAAAAAATTTTAAATCGATTTTTTACAAAATGTTGAAATTTGATATTAGCAAAAGTTAATTTTTAATAAATACGAAAAAAAAAATTATAAAATAAAAAAAATTATTAAAAAATGCACACGCGTCTGACCCTTCTGGACAAGTTGAGTTTTTTTTTTATGTTCAGAGTTATAAAACTTATAACACATTTTTTTTATATTGCGTTTTTTTATTGCTTTATACATTTTGTTTTTTATTTTTCTTCATTTTGGAATATTTTTGCATAAAATTTTTATTATTTTTGTTATCTAAATGGTAGCCATAATACTAACGGTTGCCATCATAATTTTGATTTAATGATTTTTATGATAAGAGATATTGCCATTACTATAGCTGAATATTTTAATAACACTATAAATAATTTCACATTCATATACAACAAAAAAAAAAAGCCAAATTTTTAGATAATTGAAATTTTATTGATTTTTAAGAAAATTATTAAAATCGGAGCTTAAAATTGCAAACATTTTGTTGTAATTGGATAAAGAAAAACACAGGCAATATAAGAAAAGTTTTTTAACAAAGTCATTTTGATTTTAAAATTGAATAATTGTCTAACGATTAGTTCAAAAGGTCTTAATGCCTCATTTCTTGCAAAAGAACAAAATCATGTTTATCTGGAGAATTGATTATGAAAGTTTGACTACATTTTTGTATAAAAGGTGACACAAAAGATAAAAATACCAAATGGCTAAATTGCATGATCAAAAGGTTTTGTGTTTCATTAGCCGAACATGAATCAATTATCCATATCAAAATTTTAATTCTTGAAAGAATCGAATTCTGAATTCTCGTTTTTATTTTAAAATACTTATTTGGCAAAGTAATAAAATTTATAATAATTAAAAAAAAAATATTTATAAAGTTAGGTAACGTTTGCATTAGTCCCAGAGCTTTAAACTATAAAAAATTTTAACTACAGGATCTGAACTTCAAAAGCACATACATATAACACAAACTTTTTTTAAAACATCTACAATTTTTCCAAATTTTAAAAATTAATTCTGAATTAGTATGAAATTACTAAAAAATTAATAATGTCATCATAAAATATATTAATTTTGACATCAAATACAACATTACATTCCGAAATATTTATAATTTGGTAACATAAAACTAAAAATATTTTTACAATAAGCTTAGAACAAAAGGATTCTGTTTTTAATACTCTTAATATTACAGTATATGAGAATTAATTTCAATGAAAATTAAATATTTTCATAATCTTATCAGGTAGCGGTTTTTGTTTCAGAATCACTTGTAAGCTATTAAAATTTATGGCAATATTGTTTTTGTTTTTGACAGTCTATAAAAAAGTCAGTTGTATTGTTTTTTTTACTCCAAAATGTTATATTTGTAAACGTTATTGCCAGATGAAGAAGATATACTTGCTTTTATTCCAAATTTTATTAATTTGAATGTAAAATTATTCTACCATTATCGTTATTTTCAATTAGTCAGTCTTAAGACTCTGTTTTCTATATATATATAAACTAAAGGAGATAAATTAAGTTTAAAAGAAAAGAAAATTATCCACTAGATCAAGAAAGAATAAAACTAAATCAGTGGTAGTGTCAAAACAAAAATAGATTTCCGCAAACTTCACATTTGTTATTACCGTTTATGACAAATTCTACTTGCTTTTATTGCATACATAACTGGAAATTCGTATAATCTGGCAATATTGTCAACAAAAATTTCTTAAAAGCAGAAAATTTGATAATTTTTAATTTGTTTTATAATTTTGTTTTTATTTAGAAAATTCTTTTTGTTTTGATTACGAGCAGTTTTTTTCTAATAGAAAGTTTTTACATCTAGATTTCCCAAATATTCATTGATAAAGATCGTAAATATGTTGCATATAATAAAGTTTGTTTTGTTCAATAAGCTCTTAAACAGTTTGCTAGAATCGAATACACAAGAATATTTTATTTCATTTTTTTTTTTGTTAAAATTAATTTAAAATGTTATAAAAAACAGATATTATATTTTATGGATCTTTGACAGTTCTTTTCTATTTTATTCTTAATTTTTAATAACTAACACCTTTAATAAAAGAAATATAATAAAGATTATCGAAAATTTGACTGGAACGTTAAAAATATATTAAAATACAACTACTATATGACTGCTTTATGTGTATTTTTATTCTTCAGATTGTTTTATTAATTTCTTTTATATAAAATATTTAATATTTCTTTTCTTGTATGTACATATATGCTTCTCTATACGAGTATATGAGTGTATATATAGAATTTGTGTATACTGGGATGATAAATCGAAATTATAGCCTTATTTAAAATTCTATTGTGTGCGAATAGATCACGATCAGTTAAGTTTCTTTACTCACGTGTTTATTTAATTCAATTTAATATTTAGGTGAATTTTTCTATTGTATTTTTAATATTTAAGATTTTAAATTGAAAAACGAAGTTTAATATTATGTAGATTTTTAACATATTGTAGTATACATAAAAATAATAATGTATTTTATTGTTTCAAGAAGCCAACAAATTTCACGCATCATACGCTAATATTGTTGGGGTTCTATTGTTGTTTCTTCTCTATTATTTATTCAAAAATTAAATTTATGGTAATATTTTTGATGATGACTTTTTACTTTTTTATTACATATATTAAAGATTATTTTTAAGATAAAATTATTTGTTTACATACCTATACATATATTACCATCTGAGATATTTATGTACGTGAATAATATTAACAACATTGTTTAGTAGATTTTAGAAATATTTTACATTTTACATAATTTTTTTTGATATAGTTTTAAAAATTTATGTAAGTACCAAAATTTTTTGATGTTTTAATAAACATTAAATGTAAATTCGCAACATACTCGCTCTTATATATTATGAGTGTAGTCGATTTACTCAAACATAAAAGGCTTTGGGAAATTAACAGCCTAATCGTGTTTCTCGCTTTTTTACTCACTTTTTATTCTCCTTCAAATGAGAATTCTCAGTATTTTCTAATGGATACTTTACTTTTCCAATAAAATTGCTCATTTTTTCAATTGGATTTTTTGCAAAGTGAATAAATTTTGTTTTCATTTTAGAGAAAAAACGAAATACGCAATGCCAAATAAATCTTCTCAATCGAAAATCACTTTATATAAGCATATGATAGTTACTCACTTTTTTCTCAGTTTCCTAGTAAAATAGCGAGATAGACTATCAGGCCCTTAGAAAGCTAATCACGCGATGGATTATTTTTTGTCAAAATCTTAGAGTTCGATGTGGCCTCTTCCTTTTTTGAAAGAAGAAAACACAAGCAAGAAAGGTAGGTAAATAAAAGAGCAAATAATTTTAAAGAAATGTTTTGTAAAATTACATTTCAAATATAATATAACAATAAGCAAATGACTCCACTTATTGTAGCAAATTTTATTAAATATCTGAATTATGTGATTAGGTATACAATTATACATTACGGCGATATATTTTTTAACAACGAAGATAGAAAATTGTTCTTGATATGCACAGGTGCCTAATGTAATAATACACAGTTGTGACTAGTAGTCAGATATTATTACCTAATATTTAAGACTACTGGTAAATTTTAGGTAGGACAATTTGACGGATAACGAATAGCAGTTTTTCCCAAAGTATGCTATATGAATTTCAAAGGTTTGAAAAATTCTTGAAGACAATCAATAAGAAATACTTGAAAGAGCCTACTAAACAAGAAACTTAAGAGTATACAAAAAATTTTGAAAAAATTGGACAAAAACGAACTTGGAACTGATTTTGCTCGTATGCCTGTCTACTATAAATTACATATCTTTAAAAAATATAACATATAACAAAATGTGTTTGTTGATAAGATTTTCGGTAATAAATGCAAGCAAAATGAACTAATTTCAGAATTATTTCAACAGTAGATTTAAACCAAACTTAATCAACCACATTAGAATATTAGGCGATTAGTTTCCATGTCTGATACGTTAAAAATTTTTCCAGAAGGTTCTCCTGTTATGGCAAACTATTCTAAGAATAAAAGTAAAAACAATTTAAAAATTTCATTGCGAACGAATCGCAGTCGGACAATGACAAGGTAGGCAGCAATTTTTAAAAATAAAATTACGTTTCAACAAAACTTTGGGTAATTTTTTTAATTAAAAAATAATTTGAGAATTGATAAAATTTTAATTTTGTTTTGCAATGTCATTTCATGATCCTCCTATTATCAAATCACTTTAAAATTAAGTTATCGTAAATTATTCCAAATCATATTATGTGAGGTCAGTATTGTTTTCTTTTCTTATCAATAATATTAAAAGTACACATGCGTAGGCTTTTAAACTTTGTACGCCATACTTAAATTATCAAAATTTATAAAATTTCAAGTAGTACTAAAGTAATAATAAATTAAAATTAAAAATCTATATTTAAGTTGTTTACCATCACAGAATAATAACGTCATACCAAAAGTACCATAAAATGCAAAATGCGTAGTTTTTTTTAAAATTATTATTCGTTTGTAGGAGAAGGCAGCCACTTAAAATGTTTACAATTTTTTATGATAAAACTTAATTATTTTGTTTAAAAAAATATTTTGAGTTCTCTAGTCCTCTGCAATTTAGTACATTTTATTATAAATCTTGAGATTTATACGTATGCGTATTAAAAATTTTGCTTAAAAATATTTACCAATTGTAGTTATTTTCTCATATCTAATCACTTTTAAGTTAGTAG